CGCTCCATGTAGCCACGCGTGCCTTGTGTTTCTTCCTGGATTGACCCTTTTTCTTCAATTGAGGGCAATCGTATTTGACAAGCCCCGACTTTTTGCATTCGTAGCAAATGATAGGGTCTTTCTCATTCGGTTCATTCTTGAAGCCTTCATTTCGTTTGATTTTTCTTCCTCGGTTGGGCTTCATCAACTTTCTGAACCATTTGGCAAATAATGCCATTTCCTTGTCATCGTCATCTTCATCCGAATCACTCTCATCTTTTGTGGATTTGAGAGCAACTCCTATGTTCTTCTTTTTCTCCTTCTCCTTCAGTGTATCGTCAATCTTCTTGAGGTCTACCTCATCTTAAAGCATCATTTCTTGAGTGAAGAGGGAACCGATTAGCTCTTCAAGGGTTAAGGACTTTAAGTTCTTAGCCAAGATGATTGTCGTCTTCTTTGATTGGCAAGCCTTTGGAAGAGAGTAAACTAACTTCCTTACAAGCTTCTCGTTTGGAATGATCTCTCCATATGATTTGAGACCGTTGACAATCACAGAAAATCTATCATTCATAGCTTTGATGTCTTCATTTGGTTTCATCCTGAAATTTTCATAGCTATGAGTTAGAAGACTAATTTTAGATTCTTTTACCTCGTATGTACCTTCATGTGTGACTTGTAGTTTATCCCATATTTCTTTGGCGGTTGTACAAGATGAGACTCTTCCGTATTTATCCGGTCCAAGAGCATAGAAGATGATATGAATAGCCTTTGAGTTGAGCTGGAACATTCTTGTCTCTCCTTCACTCCACGTTCTTGAATGAGTGGAATGTATGATGTATCCATCTTTTATGATGTTACATGCTCCCATGTCACTTGATTGAATGAAGTACCTCATTTTATTCTTCCAATAGGCATATTTAGATCCATTGAAGAAAGGAGGATTATTGACGGGCATTTAATCAAGACCAAATTCGGAGTTTGATGTGGAGGCCATTGATGACTTTGAATATCGATGTAACTCTTCCCAAATCGACTCAAGAGACGATTAAACCATAAAATAAGGGAGGTTCTGATACCAATTGTTGAGTTAATCGATTGACAAATCGACCAAGAGGGGGTGAATTGGCAATAAAAATTTCGGTGGAAGCTTTTGCAGAAAATAGAAAATATTTGCACAGCAATTTAGAGTGGTTCGACTTTCTCAACCAAAGTCTACGTCCACTACCTTAGCTATCCACACTAAGTATTTTCCACAAATTCACTAATTTCTCTTTCTTTTGAGGACAAAGATTAACCTTACAACTCCCTCAAGAATTATACCTCAAATTCTTGAGAACACTCTCTCCCAAAGAGAACAATACAAATTTCGCAAACTTACAGAAAAACCTCACAAGGTAAGATGTTTGCACAATTCTATAACAAAGAAAGAACACTCAAGAATAATACAATTGAGCACAATAAGTGTTCTTGAAAGAAAAAATTAATATTGAATGACATAGGCTTGAAAATGCTCAAACTTGAGGTTTGATTCTTTCTCTTTGATTCTCTCTTAATTCTTGTTTCTTGTTGTTGATCAATGGCTCCTAAACTTGTTTAAATACACCTTGGATCACTTCTGAACGCTGGGGATCATTGGTGGAGTCAATAGAGTCGTTATTGTGTGAAAATAATTAAATAAAACAGTTGGGAGCGTGTGTGCATCGGTACACAAGGATAGTGTATCGGTACATTATGTGTAAAATTCAAATATTTTGACCATTATAAGACTTAGTGCATCAGTACACTAGGGGTGCATCGGTACACTAATTACATTCGATGTTTCAAAAGAGCCTGGAGTGCATCGATGCATGGTCTGTGTATCGGTACACTTAATGAATTCGAAATAGGGTGTGCATCGATACAAAAAAGTGTGCATCGGTACATCCCTTCATAAAATTGATTTTTGGCTCGATTTTGGTTTGAAATACTTTGTAAACTTGTTTCAAAAATATTCTAAGTTTAAAACAAAATTTTACACTTTAGTAAGGATTGAAATTGATCTTTGAAATCCTTGGAGTAATATTTTAATATTCGAATAATTTAATCGAATATAATTGAAAATTCAATATAAAATCTTAAAATTCATTAACACTTGATTTGTTATATCGAAAAATCAAAATGATTTCAACAGTTTTGTATGACTCTACCTAGGGTTACCACTCTATGGTTCACTATATGTATGGTTTCGACTCTAATAGGAAAAGGTACTCGAATTGTCCTTGTTGTTGGTGCCCTCTTGGGCTTCCAAACCCTCAATCCTCACCCATCATAGGCTTAAACGGGTTGAGTTCAATTTGAGGGGATTCACTTCCCTATATCTATACGAGGAATAAATTCCTACGAAGGTATAAGGTATGTGTACCCCAGAGGTTATTTGCTAAATCTCATGCAAAAAATAAATTCTTACGAGAGCAAAGCGTTCACCCCTACTTACTTGGGAAGAAGCTCCGTTATAGAGCTTATGTAATACGAATTCACGTGAGGTGTGTGAGGAGGAACACACAAACCATTGACCAAATAAAATAATAAAAATAAAAGAAAAACTTTCGAGAGAAATTTTGGTGAAGCTGTAAACATGAATTTAAACATTAGTACAACTATTTACATAAAAAATGTATAGTAATGTAAAATTTCAATAAAAGAATCATAAACTAACTATAGACTCGAACTCATAATTTCCACCACTATGACAATGTATAAGCAACTTATAGCTTGACTCTCTAATGTGTCCCCAATAGAGTCGCCAAGTTATCGTAACGTCTTTTTTGACGAACGAATAAGATTTCGATGAAAACCCTAAATTATGACTTATTTGGAAAAATTAAAATTTTGTGTTTATTTTGATTAAATTGATTTGGGATTCACCATCGACCATTGGGCTAGGTAGAACGATTACCAAAAAAGGCCTTTTAAAACAATTTTAAGAAAAAACATTTTTAAGATAAAAATTGGTCTGCGTTATCAAAGATTCGTTTTTAAAGATTCCAGAGTCGATTATGCGTAAGGAAGGGTTAGCACCCCCACAACGCCCAAAAATTGGTACCTAATCGATTGTATGTTGTCATGCTGGAAATTAAAAAATTTGAATCAATATTTAAAGTGTGATCCTTTTATTAAATATTAATTAACTTATTTCGATTTATTTATTAGGATACACTTCTTAATTTGATAAGAAATCACGGGATTTGCGCATCCTCCAATGGGAAGGCTATCCCATATATTTCTCCTTTATACGAGAAATGTCCCCTCCTCAATGTTGTCAAAAAGAACAAATCGAATATAAATTAAATGTCGGTAGTTTCATGAGATAACATAACATACCATTTTAAAAATGCATTGACATTATTTAAATTGAAAAATAAAAATAAAAAAATGGAACAATTATTTTTATAAAATAAAGTCGATTTATTTCAAGTTCACTTTTTCATTCGAATGTTGTCTTAAATCGCACTACTTCAATCGAGTAGTTCTCTTCACACCTATTCTACGATAAGTGTTCTTAAAAAATACGAGTCAAAATATATTTAAAATGTCAAAAAAAATAAAATAAAATATGAGCTAACGAAAAAGTAAACTAACATATAAGGATTAAAATGTATTAAAACAAAAGATACATGATAAAAATGAAAATAAACCAGAAACCAAGTCATGCAATAATTACAAGGACTAAATCATAAGACAAACATGACAATGAGGATCAAACAAGCAACAAAACCCCTCAAGCTTTAAACACTAGATCAAAAACTATGAATAGAGTCAAAAATCAACATAAATGCTACAACACATAAAAGGGGATAAAAATATGAACTTGCGGAAATTACAGGTTCAAACTACATCATTCTAAAATTCTATTCAGTGACTAAAATAGAATAATCATAAAATTATCCATTAAGAAAAGATATTTGACCACAATGTAATCATGAGAAAAAGTGACTAAAATGCATATGCATAAAAGTTTAAGGCTTGAATCAAGAGAAAACAAATTCCACTTAGTGACCAGAATGGGAGAATTACGAAAGGAAAGCACTTGACGCACGGATATCCCAAAAAGGGCGCAAATATTTCTCACCTTTCTAAAAATAGCATCGTTTGGGGTTAATATATAAGCCTAACTAAGGGTTTTAAAAATCCCATACTTCATTTTTGTTACATCTTCCCAAAAAAATAAAATGAGAGAGAGTTCTAAACTCTCTGCCCAAATCACGAACAACCGCCACCCAATGGAACCTCCAACGGTCGAGCACGACAGTTGACGTTTGGAGCAACGGCCTAAAAAGGCCCCCTCACTCTCCAAAACCTAAAACCAAAGCTATTTTCCTAAAACTGACCTCAAAAGCCTATATCTAACAAAGAGAACCGAAGGGTCTACCTACCGCCGTCGCTAAGTCTGTGGTCTGATGAAGCTTCCGTCGAGGTATGTTGTTCATGGAAGCCTCCTCTTTCGTCTCACCGTTCATATTTTTGAACAAAGGCCCCAACCTCTCTGGATGTCCGCCAGTCAAAAGGGAAGCTCCTTATCTTTTTATTTTTTTTTTATTTTTCCCTTTTTGGTTCGAATGGTTTTTGCTATTGGGTTTTTTTGGATCCTCCCTCGTTTTTTTTTATTTTCTTCAATCTGTTTTTCATTTTGGGTTATATACCTGTTACAATCTATCATAAAAAATAAATAATAAAAATTGCATTTGCTTGTTGCTTTTTGTTGATTTCACTACAAGAAAATATACCTTTAATGACACACGAACGATGACACACGCTAATTTATGACTTGCAAAAAATGTGTGTCATAAAAAAATGTCATGTTTCTTAAAATCTGAACGATTTATGACTTACAATAATGTGTGTCATATTTAATAGTCATAATCCAAAAAATTTAGCAAAACACGGAGTACATTTTTCATTGTGTGTCATCTCTAAAAGTCATCTTTTAATTTCCCCCCATAATTTTAATCTTCTTTTGAATGTTGCCGCGGATAATTTCGAAGCTTCTGAGGTTCAAGCTTTAGCGGATTTTAATAACAATGTTGTGAGAAGTGTGGACGAGGTTTGGAGGAAAATTGTATCGGGCGAGAGGAAAGAGATCACGATGAAAGAGGAGGCGCCGAACGAGATGGTGACTTTGGAGGATTTCTTGGTGAAGTCTGGTGCTATGGAGGAAAAGGAGGAGGTTAAGTTGCATGCGAATAGGTTGAATGGTGGAGTGTACCCGATCGATCCAGTGGGAGGGGGTGCGTTTCAGATATTGGATAAGATGGAGGGGTCAATTGTTGGGTTTGGGAACGGGATGGAAGTTAATGGGAGTGGAGGTGGTTGAGGGAGAGGGAAGAGGGGTTTTAGTGGAGCCGTTGGATAAAGCAGCACAACAGCGGCAGATAAGGATAATTAAGATCAGGGAATTTGCTGCCCGGTCCCGGGAAAGGAAACATGTATACAATTGGTTTAGTTCTTTTGATTGAATTGTGTCAACTTTAATGGATTGTTTCTTTTGAAAAATTTGGTGTTTTTTTTATCATAATTGCAGGCATACCAAGTTGAATTGGAATCATTAGCCGTAAAACTGGAAGAGGAGAACGAGTGGCATTTGAAAGAAAATGAATTTTCTTATCAAAAAGAAAAGGTATTGAATTTTTTTCTCAACTTTTATCACCTTTCATCTTATGAATTTATGATTTCAGATAATGATCGGAATGGTTAATTTCCTCATTAATTACTTGCTAAAGGCGGAAAGTTTCTTTTATCTCAGACACATAGTGTGTCTCTTGTCCTCAATGTAGTTACAATGACTTCCTCTAGAAGAGACGTTTTCTTTAGCTGCCTCTGAAAGGATTTTGTTTGAAATCTAGGAGCTCCTGTTTTGGTCAACTTTTATTCCGAAATTTCCAAATGTTGATAATAATAATACTTGCTACTTTTTTAGCGTTACTGTGTTTAACTGGCTTGATGCATCTTCCAACAATAAGTTTCACAATATTCTCTTGGACTCTACCATAATTTCCTTGCCTATCATGTCCATAGTCTTTGTTGTATTGGGCTAGTGATTATTCACCATAAAAGTTCCCAAGCTACTTGTAAGCTATAATCTCGTTTTGTGGTGTTCTTTCACTTATCAATTCACATCTTTCAGTTTCATGTTTTCTATAGAAAATATTCTTTATTTTCTATGTGTTGTTTTTATATACTATGGTCCCTTAGGCCATAGGTATATGGGTGCATCCTACACTGCTTTATGCACTCAAATTTAGAAGCCTTGCATTTTCAAGAACTTAATATGACTAGCTTCACCTAAATATATGTATCCATGTACAGTTGGCTTTAATTCTTGGTGGATATAGCTTGAATGTGAATTCCCTGGATTTTCCATTGTTGCAATTATTCAAGCAGAAGCACACTTGCATCCGAATGAACATGCATGCATATACCACACTTAAAAATGAAAAAATTATTCAATGCATGATATTTCTTGCCCTTATGCACATTACATAAATCATATTTTACCCAGGGCAAAACACTTCTCTCCCTTATTATGCATCTCATGCATGAGGTGTTAAGTCAGTTGCTTGGAAGGAACTAAGTTTTAACTTTACCCATTTTATTTCATGTATGTTTCTGTTTTCATTTCCTGGGCCTCAATTCCTTGCAGCTTAAATTTAGGTTTTCTTATTATCCTTTGTTTCTTAGTTACAATATTATAAATTATAGTACTATCTTGTAGAGTAAGCTAATGCTCACAATTTATTTATTGTTATGCTTTTCTATTTTCTCATTCTAATTTCCTTGTTAATGCATTGTAACGTCTTTCACTTCACTAGATTTTATTGCGTATGCTTTCATCTCTAACTGCATTTGTTTTACTTGCAGACTGAGAGAACTAAGGAAAGATTTAAGCAGGTTATAAATCTCTGCTTTTATCAGAGCATTAAGTGTTAGATTAATGGTTAAACTGATTCAATGGGATTGGTCAAAATAAAGAAATAGTTTGATCTTAAGTGTAGTTGGAACCGTTTGTATTAGTAAGAAATTAAAGTGGGAAGGTTTTAAGAATAACCTAATGCACTAAATATATAGGATTACGTTGTTAATAGGAAGTTAAAGAACTATTAATGTGTCCTTTTTCCTTTTCCAACAAGTAACACAATTTGATTTAAATATCTAGATAAGTGTAATTATTTTTGGTTGAGGAATATTATGATTCTTTCATTGTAATATCTGATACGTAGTTTGTATTTTAACACTTATAGATAACTTGGCTTTAGTAGTTGTGTTAGTTCTTAAACAATACCTAAGTGAGAAATGTAATTATGGACAACAGAGCATACTCTAATAAGATGTGCCTATCAAGTTCCTAAAAGAGTTTCTCATCATGTTGATTTTTACTGCAGCTCATGGAGAAGGTGGTTCCAGTTGTGGAACAGCGAAGACCAGCGCGTCTGCTACAATGTTTCTAATGCAGGAAACAAGTAGGAAAGCTAAAAAATGTGTGGACATCATAGATACAGTCATCGGTTGAGTAGAAAAGGATATGCTGGACTAACTCTTGAGATTGTATGTAGTAAATTAATTGAATAGTTTAGATATGCATCTGTTTATGTTAATTCATTGTTGTTATTAATTTAGATACAAGAAACGGGAAAGGAGGAAGACGGTATTGATAGAGCATTGTTGTGGAAAAAGGCAAGACAAATGAAAAAATGAGGTTATGACCCGAATGTCCAGATTGTTGTTGATAAAATGGTAAGTTCCTGTGAACATTCCTACTTTATTTATTTTCTACTTATTGTTATAGCACCAAGTTAGTATATATATGTTTTCTTATTTCAAACTACTTTATTTATTTCCATACTTGCAATAATCTTATTATCATGATTAAAATAAAACCCCACGAAAAATAAAATCAAGTAAATATTAAGAACCCTTGGGTTCTCCCTTGTTGAATTAATAACAAGAATCATATTAGTTCTAGCAAACCTGGTCAAATATGAATCTGTTGGCTACACGTTTGATGGTGGCAGCATCAACTGCATCAATTCTGGCAAATAATTCAGTAAACTGGATTCTTCTCCCATAAGTAAGTAGTTGCAACAACAAAAAAACAGTCAACTACAAATAAGACTTCATCATGCCATCAATTACTATAAAGTATTATGAACAATGCAAAAGAGAAAATCATAAAACGTCTTCATCATGCCATCAATTACTATAAACTATTATGAACAATAGCTCCACCTCAATATACACAGAATCTGATGGATCACCTATGATAAGTAAGAAAAAATAGGTCCTATGATGTAATGGTATGTTGCATTCATTCCATAGTTGTATTATTTTCTTTCTTTGCTCCTCAAACACCAAAGACCACTCTTTCTCATAATCCAAACTCTCATTTGCAGCATCTCCTGATTCAATGTCTTTAGTTAAAAAGCAAACGGGTCAAAATCACCCAAAGTATGCCCACATGGAGTTGTGATTGGTTCATAGAGTAATTTTAAGCAAACAGTGCAGAATAAGTTGAAATACTCACCAAAATCAGCGCATTAGCCTTTAGGATATATGCCATTATATAATTATTTTTTAAGTTCATAAACTGCTCAGCGTCATTCAATGCAAGTTGAATAAACAAACATCAAACTTTCAAAAATGATAGGATCATCTTGTTTGATATTATGAGCTTTAATCCTTTGACATACAACTATCACATCATACATACACATTTTAGTATCATATGGACTCGAAGTGTTGGTCAATAAGAATGTAAGCAAACTTTTCTAATACACATCTGTCATATCATACATACACATTAGTCATACAACTATCATATGGACTTGAAGTAGGATTATATTCTAAACAAATTAATGCAAGTACTTGTTAGCAAGACTGAAAACTGTGAATTCGTGCCGTGATAATGTATATAATTTATATGGGAAGTTTTACTAATTAAATGTGTAAAATTTATTTTTACATATGCTTCAAAGAATGCATATGTAAAATTGGTCATTTTAGTACTCTTTGATAGTTATATACTTCACTTTAAATAAGTATAAATTATATACTTATTTCATATTTTTTACTTAGGTTGGCGATGGGAAGGAAGAATACACGGATGATGACATTGATGATATTCGCAAAGAATGGGTATCTTATGTGGCAAACTTTAACATGTCGTGATATTTTGTATCGACATACGATTACAATATTTTTGATAACTTAATGTTAATATATTGTATGCAAATGGATTGCTTATATATAATATGATATATATATATTTAGTATTATGAAGCATTAAATGCGATTTAGTTTGATTATTTGTCAATCTACAATATATATATATACATATATATAATTTACGGCATACAATCACGACACACGAATGTGTGTCATCTTTTTTTAGTGACATGTGCTTCAATGCCACACAATGTAAGTCGTAAATGTAAGTCATAAATTTATGACACACAAATGTGTGCCATCTTCATTTATGATGGGAGCTTCAATGACGCACAATACGCGTCATAAATGCGTGTCATAAATGCGAGTCATAGATTTATGACACACAATTGTGTGTCATCTAAGATTTATATCGGTGGCTTCAATGACGTGCATATGTGTGTCATCTGCACCCATAGATGACGTACAATGCGCGTCATTAAAGGGGGTTTTTCTAGTAGTGTTTTAGGGTGATTGGAGTTGATGGTGGTTGGTGAGCTTGTGATGGCAGGGTTGTTGGGAGGCATGACTGCACGGGATGGCTTGGGGCAGGAGTAGTTGGTGACAGTGACTGATAAGGATTGTTTTGTAGCATGGCATTTGGTGCAGCAGTTGTTAACGTTGAAGATGGCACGGCATGATGTGGTAGCAGGGCATGGCCAAAAATGGTGATTACAATACCCTTTATATTTGTAATTGAAAAAAGAATTAAACGTCATATAGAAGGCAAATAATGCACATATTATTGTTAGATATAGGTTACAATCGGTCATTCGGATGGGGTTCGGGTTACATCATTTCGGGTCTAGATTACTTCTGTTTAGATTCGATTTGAGTCGGATTAGATTTGGTTTGGGTATATGAAAATTTAGTTTAAGTCCGGTTTCAGGTCGAATCAAAATTGAATCGATTGATTTTTGGATTGGGTTAATAACAAATCGGTTGGATTCGGGTCGGGTCAATATCGGATAAGTTGCCTTCGGTTCAGGTCAACCATTAGATTTTCGGTTCAATTCAGATTGGTTTTGATTTGGGTCAGCCTTTAGATTTTCAGGTTAACCTTTAGATTTTTAGATCAATCATTATTGCACTTTATCGTCATAATGTTTGATGTTTTTCTTTATTACTTATAATTTAAGAATTTTGTATGAGTATATAGTATCACATCGCAAATGCAGAGTTAGAAGTTTTAGTTTTAATCAATTGAATCCATAAATCTCTAAAATCAAGAATTTTATATGAATATATATTGTCACAGTTCATATTTGGAGCTAGAAGTTATTTCATCAAACATAGAAATTGTCTTTTAACTGAGAAAATATTATATTGAACCATTAAACTATTACTAGAAGTAGTATTTAACTAGTAGTATAATAAAAAATAAAATAAAAAATAGATCATTTTACTATTTATAATTTCTAAAATTAGATAATAATAAAAAATAAATAAAATATCCATTCATTTAGAATCAATTATCGGGTTAAAATCGGGTTTAAGTTTAGTTCGGATCGGGTATTGGTAAACTAAATTCAGGTTGCTTTCAGTTCGGGTTTTTTCGGTTTGTGTTACTTTCGGTTAGGGTTGTTTTTGGTTCAGGTTTCTTTTGGTCCAGGTTAACTTCGGTTCGAGTTTCTTTCGGTCCAACAAAAATTCAGGTCGATTTCGATTCGATTCAGGTCGATTTCGATTCGATTCAGGTCATTTCGGGTTTCAGATCAATTTTAAGTCATCCTGTTTGAGTCTATATCGAGTCTCAAATTGAGTAAATCGGTTTGCGTAATCGGGTAAGAGTCAAATTTACCATGTCTATTGTTAGGGATTAAAATTTGGATATATTTTTGGAGGATTTAAAAAGCTTCATGAAAATTCCCAAAAAAAAAAAGAAAGGTCAATAGAATAATGTTTAACGGAAAATGATGAGTTTGAAGCATATGAATAGTCAGATAATCATTTTATAATTTATAATAGTAGAAAAACTCAACTGAACATTACCTTATAGTCGGATGACTAATTTTTAACTTTCAATAATTGGGGAACTCAACAAAGTAGTAGCTTATAGTCATAGGATTATTTTTGTACTTTACTCAAAAATCAAGACATTGTTTAGTAAAATCTCCAATTTTGGTAAGATATTCGGCTTCCACTCCTAACACTTTTACCAATATTTGATCTCTATAAATTGCTTTGCTGCCATTTGGGACTTTGACCAAACTTCCTTCATAAGATAGACAGTCATGGAAGAACATCAGAGCTGAACAATAAATACTCAAGTTGTATACACTTGATTAAAAATGTTTGAACCCTTATTTTTTTAATTTAAAATTTTGTTTAGATAAATTAAAAAATCAATTTAAAATTGGAAATATCTGATTTCAATTTTAAAGATATGAATTTAATGATTTGGGATTTTGTAAAAACAAAATTATTATGAAAGCTAGACCATTATTATAAACTGATGCTGAATATTCAAAAACAAACTACTGGAGTTGACTTGTTCTGGTATTTGTGAGTATTGACATCTATGGTTAGCTGTATTGCTTCGGATTTAATCCATATTTTAAAAATAATTTCCACATATATTTAGAGGTGATAAACAGGTTATTCGAATCGAATTCGGGTCGGGTCGTTTTGGATTGAGTTATTTTGGTTTGAGACTTGATTTGATTCATGTCTGGGCCAGGCCAGGATATTTTAGGTTCCATTTTTATTCGGTTATATGGTAAGTCGTGTTAGGTCAGGTATCGAGTCAAGTTAAAATCAGATCAGTCGGATTGGTTAGTTTTCAGATCGAGTCAATATCATATCAGTTGATTTTGGGTCGGGTCAATATTGGATCATTTAATTTTCGGCTCGAGTAAATATCAGATTGATCAATTTCGGTTCGGGTCAATTCAGGTTGAGTTAAGTATGAGTTCAATCAAATATATATAAAGTTATTAATGTATTATTCTTAGAAAAAATATATTTTATTTTTCAATCTTATCATTTAAGTTCAAATTCAATTTCAAAACCTTGAATGTTTCAAATTACACTATCATTTATGGATGACAATTTGACCCAAACCTATAAGGCATATTAGATTTTGTAACTTGAATTTCTTATTCATCTAACATGAAACGTTTATGGTGCAAACTATTTGGTGAATCATTAAATTATAAATTATAAATTTTATTCTCAATTAAAATTTTTAATTAAATGTTTAATGTCTAATATAAATATAATATTTATTAAATTTTAAAAATAATATAATAATTATATTCGAATAAATATTGATATAAATAATTTTATAAATATATTACACTTTGTTGACACTTGTTTTTTTCGTCCTAAATATTATTAATATTATTATTATAATAATATATTATGATTATTATTAATATACTGTTTTTTTACAGGTTACAACAACCCAGGTTGGGCCCAATTTACAAACTCAGATTACAACAAATTCCGGAGCCCAGAAAATCAACAGCAATCAGACCCGGACCCGGTTGCAGACCCATACTCGTGCCAGTTTCAGCTCCTACATGAGGCCAGCACGCCCGAGCAACGCCCATACTCTGTTGCTCCTGCACCCCCGCGCTTCACCCATGCCTCTCATGTTAACCAAGTGTTTCAGATGCCATGCCCCAATAAAGATTCCAACAGCTAATTGATTGAGCTACATTGGTCTTGCCAATTCCTACACCCCACGAGTGAGCCCATACCCTGCTCCACAACACCCAGTCGCCCACACCCTGCAAAAATAAAATTCCATCAACAAAAAGCAAAGTGGAGGGGACAACAGCAAAGTGGAGGGGACAAAATATCATTAATAATGAGCCAACCACTACATTTAAAAAAACAAAATAAATCTGGATAATCCAGATTCAACCTGCTACATCTAGATTTCATCGATCAAAGTCATCACCAAATCATTGACGGGCAACCATAAAAGGACAGTGATCAAGAACGAAAAGAAAGGGGGGTTCGGTTCTTTAATAAAAAAGAAAAGAGGGTAGAACACAAAAAACAGTTTAAGGGAAATCAACCATTGGGAAAGCAATTGTAAACGAAAAGGGATAGGGGTTCTTATCCTTTCCATTCGAAAAGAAAAAGGACAGGGCTTCTACTCCCCATTGGATTTTGTTTAGAAAGCAATGTATTGGGGGTTATGTACCCATTTTCGCAGAAAAGACAGAAAAATAGATGTTGTTTCTTCTTTATTTTTACATGAAGCTATACGTCTTCTCCCTTAGTTTTTTTACAGAAAGCAACCAAAAATTCGACGGTGACCATCAGGAACCCATCAACAGCAAAAAATGAGGAGAAACAAACAGTAAAAAAACATCATCCTCAGCCATTCGAAATAAACGGTAAAGAAAAGAAGAGAGTTTATTTTTTTAGCATTAGTTGTCATTTCTTCTCGCCGAATTAGAAGCTAGGGGTCAGAATTCTTGGCCATTCTTTGAGCTTGCTTTCTCCCTTTTGGGGTTTGGTTTAGAGGTTGAGAGTAGTAGATTAAGGAAGATTTCAGCTTTAGGTCGAATCATGGGTGACCATGACCATCAATAGTGGTGTTTAGAGGTCGAAGTGTCAACGGTTTATGTCCTTAGGTGATTTATCTTAGGTTTGATAATGGGTTTTAGGGTTAGGAAATGGTTCGATATTGGGGGATTAGTGTCATAGAAGGGCGTAAAGGGTGTTTAAATCCTCATTGGAGTTGTGGGGTAGACGATGACCATGGTGCTTCGTGGCCGTTCGTTTTGGCTTCCTAAAATAAAAGAAGAGAGAAGAAAAGGGAGAGCTGTTGAAGATGGGGTTGCGGCTGAGAGAAAAATAAAATGGGTCTAAGGTTATTTTGTTGCCTAAATATATATATATATATATATATATATATATATATATATATATATATATATATATATATATATCTGAAATGGTGTCATTTTGGGTGTTTAGGGTTTCCCGTTTCGTGTGTGGGATATTCATCTTAAGAGCCATTTAACTTTCCAGTAACTTGCATTTAAGCCCTATTAGTTTTAGGAATCTGCATTTTGATCTTTAAATCGTCATTTTTGTGTTTCCAATTTTGTCTTCATGTTTTATTTGCATTTTAATTTCCGTCCTAAATGGTAATGTATTTAAATCATGTTGTTTAGACATCTTGCTTTTAATATTTTCATGTTTCGTTTTAGTCCCTAGGTCAAAGTTTGCATGTTTATAATTTTGTCTATTTATTTTTACCACAATTTATTTTAGTCCTAAATTTATATTTTTTAAATTATGTTTATTTTTTAATGTACCCTGTAATTTTGGTTATATGACAATTTAATCACTTAGTAGACTTGTTTATTCTATTGGGTAATTTCTATGTTGCATGCCTGATTTTCGTTCTCTGTTTTTTAGTCTCTAGTGGCATTAATGAGTATAATATTTGGGTTATGAGCAGTAGGTTTAATTTTATAGTATTTTCATATTATTTTAATGTATGTCTATTTTATTGTATGCATCTATGTTGCATATCATTACACTGTATTTTAGATTTTATTTAATGAGATAAATATTATTTTAGTCATTAATTGATTTAGCATAAAGCCATCTTACACTGTGTTATGTTTTGTTTTGTTTTATTTAGGTCGTTAGACTTTTAAATCTTTTAGAACCCGGTATTTTAGTTCTTTGACATTTTAGTCCCCGAACTTCGATCAAAACTTTATATTGACATAATTAAATAGGTTAAATAGAGCTTCCATTTTAGCTAGATTTCAAACTAGTCTTTTAATTTAGGAGATAATTCGAGTTGGCCCTCGCGTAAACGTTCGAGGGACCATCTCGGTTATTCGATTCAATAATTAACTAAAATCAAATAGGATTAATATTAGAACTTACATTTTTAGATTTGAGTCCCTAGGTTCCTTAATTCTCATAATTTGATATCTTAAGTTAAAAAAACCCTTAATTTACCTTAGATTAATTAGGATTGAATAAAATTTTGTCTGATTGCATTTTATTTTAACTTTAAGGCACTATTTAGGGAATTAATAGTATATCTCCAGCGATCATGCTCAGGGGCTGACTACTGGTGATTCCCTAAATAAGTCGACATCCTTTTCAAAATTGCATCATGTTTTCTAAACACGAGGCCATGTTCGGTTATTAGACATAATAGCTGATCTCCCGTATTTACGCTCGGGGAAGAATGTTATCGGTCTCAATTAACGAATACTCTTTTCAAACTCTGCATTTCTAATGATTTTTAAATTAAATAAAGATCGAACTCAAAATTTTTGATTTTAAATATAAGGTAACCAACTAGGTACCAATTTTTGGGAGCTTGTGGGGTGTTAATCTTTCCCCACGCGTAACTGACTCATGAACCTGATTTCTGGATTTTTGCATACCCTAAAACTAGTATTTTATTAAAATAAAATGTTTTATTAAAATCACCCAGTTTTTACGGTGTTCCAATATCACCTTAAATGATTGGTGGAGACTCCTCACATTTCGAAATGATTTTCAAAGAGAAAATCCCCGAGTCAATATCAGTCTTTTCCTTGCCCTGGCAAAAAAATGGTTACGACAGCTTGGTGACTCTGCTGGGACTTTTGTTTTTAAAAAAAAATTGAGAGTCAAGCCACGAGTTGGTTACCCTGTATTTACACTTTTGGAAATTACAAGTTCGATCTTATTTAATTTACTATTCATTATGTTATTTCAAAAAAGAAAAAAAAATAGATTTCTCTTCGGTTAATGCTTACACTTCTGTGAAATATTTAGGATTGTTGCATATCATAGCTCTACACTCGAGCTCAATCCTGATTTACCTAAGTAGGGAGTAACGTCACACCTCACGAGGAGCATTGGGCTTCCTTGTGTGGGTCTGGCAAAGTATCTCTGGAAAGCACCCTAAGTTGCCTATCCGGATATCAGTTCCGAGGTATGCTTTTAGTGGTGTCATCCCCTGAGCTGAACCAAATTCGCAAGTCTGTAATGGGCCATAATCGGATCAACCTTAGAAGGTTGTAAAAATAGCTTGGGAACCTTTGCTAGAACCCATCCTCATATAGAGAATTTAGTAAGCCTACCCCGCTAGAGCCATATGGATAACCTAGGAGAATTAGAACGCATTCAGTTAGGACCATTAATTTCCTTTGTATGATTTATTTTTTAGTCTCAACTTTAAGTCATATTTAAGATTTTTTTGACTAATCATTTCAACTAACTTGATTCTTGTTGTCTTGTTTCTACTAATATTAATTTTATTTTGTATGCTCTTTTTGCATTTTTTCATGTATTATTGTCATATCACATCATTTCATAAACAGTATTGATTCCCAGATTACCTAGTTATTATAAAAAAAGCTTAAGGCAGCAATGTCTTCCGATGGGACTGAGAATGCAATCAGTGTTCAGACTTGGTCCAAGTATGGGTAGACGCAGTTCAGAGACAGCCTTGTAACTATCGAAGAATAAGTTTTTCCAGAGAAGGTAATTATCTGAACCCTGTAGCATGGTCAGAGATTGAGAGAGCAAAGAGATGAGGCTAACCAGGAATTGGCGCAGAGGCGAGCACAAATTGAGCAGCTTCGAAGCACATCTGCTTAGTTTGGATGAGACTTTTCATAACCCTTACAACATCAAGGGGTTCCATCTTCAAAAAGAAAATGAGATGTTAAAGAAGAGGATAGCAGAGCTAGAAGAAGCAGGTTTCATCCACTCATCTGCACAATAGATAGCCATGTAGAAAAATGAGGCCTTAAAAGCTGAGATTGCTGAGCTAGAAGTTACAGTACAGAGATGCCATCAACGAATTCAAAAGTTAGAGGAGAACCAACCATTGACTAATACAAAGCTTGGAACCACGCTACGGTAGGCTCAAGACACCATTAAGAGTCAACATGAAGCAATGGGGAGAGCAGAGAGTCAGACCCATAGTGTTGCTCGCCAAGTCTACAAGTTATCTTAATAAGCGGCAGCCCTAAGAGTTTTTGTGATCCCAAAGTCAGAAGAAGAACGACGCATCATGGGATTGATGATAGAGCTCGAGAGATTAGCGAATAGGGCAATATTCTACGTTTAGTTTCCATGTTGGTGTACTCTCTTTTCCTAAGTGTTTAGACGTTGTGTGTTGTTGAGTACTTTTTGTATAAACTAAGTTATTTTGGAATCAATATCGGGTTGCATTTGCATCTCGTATTTTGCACTCCCATTTTTGCATTTTTGCATATGCATATTTTCATTTTTGCATTAACATATACACATTGTACATTACATGGTATACATTACATTTCAACATGCATTAATCACGGATCCGGGGAATAGCTTGCAGAGAGTCTTGTGATAAACGTTTTGAGGGTAAGATGAAGTGACAATCCTTAAAAAAAAAGATTCAGAGTTATGAATGTAATGTTAGCCCCGTCTGAAGTTTGAGGCATTATCGAAATTCTTGGGGCACGGAGAAGCAAGACCCAAATTTTGTTTGACCTAGGGGTATTGACCTTTAACTCGTAATGAGACATTCTAGGGGTCAGTGTTGCACTGGCCTTGTCATGTTTGAACGTGTTTTTTTTTTCTTTCCTTAGTAGATATTTTGTTAATTGGGCTTATGTCGTTTTATAAGGTTATGAGCAATAAATCAAGTTTTAATCTTGTAATTCTCTGAATATTGAA